AGAAACCACACCGCAGGGTTCCTCATCTCCTCTGGCACAGTTTTGGCCTAGCCGCCTCTCCTTGACATTGGAAGAAGCGGCGCTGAGCAGCGCAGCAGGTAACATCCCGCAAGGTCAATAGAAAAACAATGCTCTCGGTACCGTCCTCCAGGTGCACCTACGGCCGTCATCGGCGTCGAAAGCACCCGGTCTCGGTGCAATTCGAGCCCCGAGCCTTGTTTGGCTAGACCAGATAGAAAGTAGATCAAGTCAAACGTGGACATGAATCCCCTGTTGATATTAAGAAATGTTCGGTTGGACTGACAGAGTGCCGTGTGCACCACTTGCTAAATTCGTGCCACATTTTCAGTTCATGAGGAGTTCGCGAAACCGCAGGCAGATCGACAGAAGAGACGTCGAAAGGTTTGAAATAATGCCGCGGTTAATGGGATTCATAAACAAAAGTTGGATTTATATTGTTTGTCGGAGCATTACGCAAACGCGAGATTTTTTTTTTTTGAATTATGGATGTTCGTGCAGATATCGCTCGAGTAAATTTACTAGTAGAACGGGCTGCCAGTTTGCGCCAGGAGGTGGAATAGTGGGATAATGGGATTTGTTACGGTTCGCTTCTGTAACAGGTCAAGATTTGTACTACCCACGTTTCCTTGAATCATTTTATTTTTTGTTTTATGGGACTTTTTTAACAAGCACGTTCAGTAAATAGGACAGTTAGCTCATGGTCTTATAAAACTCTGGTCGCGGGTTTTAATAGGCGCTGGAATTCTATAAATATTCGAAAATTTTCTGACTATAAAAATAATTTGCCAGATTTAAGTCCGCAAAAACAATGTTGAATTTAAATATGCAAACTGTGAAACTAAATACCAACTTCTCAAATTAAGCATAAGAAAAACAACATCGTGTGAACAATAACGATTTAACACCATCTGTTCACCTGTTGCATGACTGTTGAAAGCAGTGGTGGTTCTAAAGGGTGATCATGTTTCTTTTCAAACATATTTATTTTCATTTTAAGAATAATTAATTACACTGTTTGATCGTTAAATTTAAAATTAAATTATTAATTTTGGCAAGTGCACTGGCAGTGCATTCATAAACCACAAGTACAGGAGTATGTTATTTTGTGAAAATACACCCTGTTTATACTATGAAAAATGTTAAAGGTATGTCATTACATTATCAGTGGGGATGATTAGACATATTGTGGTTAGCGTTTACCCATCTACACGATATTTCTAAGATAAATATAAAATTTAACAATAATACTTGGTCCAGTAGTTTCAAAGATCTATCGATCTAATAAAAGTAGGTCGAAGGGTATTTCGGCAGAACTTCCCTCGCCCCTGGAATGCAATGCATATACGATATCAAGTTTTTTCTAAAAATTATAAAATCTGATTTTGAAATTTTTTTTTATGAAAACCCCTATAAGTTAAAATAGAAATGTTGCAGTAAATGTATAGAAGTGTGCTACTCTTATGTTTCAAATGAGTTTTTCATTTACAAAATTATGTGATGACTTCATCAACATTTTTGCAAGGACAGGTGCAATGTAATACTACTACTGATTTTCAAATTTTCGGGAAAATGGAGCGAGCTAATTCTGATTTAATCAATAAAATAAATTGACTTCATTAATTCGTTAATTTTTTTGAGACTTTCTGTACAAGCAATTCTAAAAAATATGAATCCAATGATAAATCACAAGTATTGATTAATCATATTTTGTAAATTTTTGTTAGGATTTATTCGGTAAAATTTTGAGATGTGTTTTCAGTCCCACGATATTTCATTTTTTCGAATTTTTAAATTTTAGATTTTTCAATATTTTTTATTCGATTTCCCAATTTTAGATTCTTCGGTTTTTCAATTTTTCGATCTTGAAAATATTTTATATTTTAATTTTTGGGTTTTAAAATCTTTTAAATTTTTGAATTTATGGATTCTTCAATTTTGTGATATATCAATTTTGGCGATTTTTTTACTTTTGAAATTTCGATTTCTCGATTATTGGATTTTTCAGTTCAATATTTCTATTTTCCAATTTTTCAAATTTTTAGATATTCAAAATTTTTAAGCTTCCAGTTATTTTATTTTTCAGTTTTTTTGATTTTTTAAATTTGACATTTTCAATTTTTCGAAAGTTCAGTTTGGGATCTTTCAGTATTTCGATTCTTCAATTTTTCTATGTCTCGGTTTTTTACTTTTTCGATTTCTCAAGTTCTTGATTTTTCAATTTTTCAGTCTTACGATATTTCAATTTTTAGAATTTTTAAATTTTAGATTTTTCGGTTTTTCAATTTTTCGATTTTCAAAATTTTTGACCTTTTGATTTTTTAATTGTTCGGTTTTAAAATGTTCCGATTTTTCAATTTATGGATTCTTCAATTTTCTGATACATAAATTTTGGCGATTTTTTAAACTTTGGAATTTCGATTTCTCGATTTTTGGATTTTTCAGTTCTTCAATATTTCCATTTTCTAATTTTTCTAATTTTTAGATATTCAAATTTTTTAAGCTTCCAGTTATTTTATTTTTCAGTTTTTGGATTTTTTAAATTTTGCATTTTCAATTTTTCGAAACTTCAGTTTGGGATCTTTCGATTTTCGAATTTTTCGATATTTTAATTTTTCAATAGTTAAAGTTCAGCTTTTTCGATCTCTCGAGTTCTTGATTTTTCAATTTTTCGTTTTTGAAAATTTTTGATCTTTTGATTTTTTAATTTTTCGGTTTTAAAATGTTCCGATTTATCAATTTATGGATTCTTCAATTTTCTGATATATCAATTTTGGCGATTTTTGGATTTTTCAGTTCTTCAATATTTCTATTTTCCAATTTTTCAAATTTTTAGATATTAAAATTTTTTAAGATTCCACTGATTTTTTTGATTTTGAAAGTGTTTGAAATAATTTCAAGGATCCCGGTGTTTTGATTTTAAAAAAAGTTTAAAGAATCTCAGGGCCACAAGTGAAAAAGTCTGAAAAAATATCAGAGGCTTCTAGTGTTTTGATTTTGAAAAAAATTGAAATAATCTCAGGGGCTCCTAGTGTTTTGATTTTGAATAAGTTTTAAAGAATCTTAAGGTCTTCTAGGGCTTTAATTAAAAAAAAAATGAAACAATCTTAGGGGCTCCTAGTGTTTTGATTTTGACTACATTTTTTGGAGGGGGATAAATACATCTAATGAGTTAAATTCTTTAACCAAAATTTGTCAAGTTTATTATTATTAAGATAAGACTGATTTTGGCAAATGACACAGCCTCTAAGAAAATAACGGGTGGGTGGGTGGGGTAGGTACAGTTGCGGCCGCCCAAAAGTGCATGATAATTGTCTCTATTCAAAAATGCTGCGCCATTGGTAATAGCCAGAGTTACATATATTAAAAAATTCAAAAAAGTCCATGATAACGAAAAATCGTGCACTTTTGAGGGGCCGCAACTGTACTTGCTAAGATAAGATCGAACAATATTAAGACTAGTAACTAGAATGAAAAGAGGGTGGGTGAGTGGGGCTACTGGTTGCTTATAAAACTGTGTGGAAAGCTATTTAATTCAGGTTTTAATTTTTAAATTCATTTAGACTTTTGCTTAAGTAGCATGTACTAGCCCCGCCCACCCGAACGCTATTTTCTTAGAGGGTATATTATTTGCCAAAATCAGTGTTATCTTACCAAGTAGATACATTTTGATAAAAAAAATTAATATGCTTACGATAACTTTAAAAAGTGTGCAAGATTTCTAAGCATTCAATTTTGCAGTTCCTGAATTAATCAATAAAATAAATTGAGTCGTTTATTAAATTTTTGAGGGGGGGAAACAAAATATATTTTGGTTAAACATTTGCTATGCTTACGATAACTCTGAAAGGTTTACAAGATTTCAAAGCATTCGGTTCTGCAGTTTAAAAATTAAATTGCAAAATGTTGTTACACAATTTTGATGTTTTTTCGAAAAATCTGGATATCCCTAGTAAGAAATCACCACGGATTCATAAACGACATGTGTAGGACTATGTTATTTGATACAATTTAAAACCCATTTACTTGTCCAATTTTGAGTTGACGTCCTCGCGTTGTTGGTTGGGATGATTAGACAAAGTTTCGTTAACGCTTTACCATCTACATGATATTCCTAATACCCATTAAAATTTGACAAAGATCGGTCCGGTAGTTTGAAAGATTATCTGTCTAACAAAAACTCACACGGACGACGGACAGACAGACAGACGGAAAGAGGTGACCCTTTTTTTTCTACTTTTGTAGGCATATAATCATTTAAATAACTTTTGGTGGAGGCACTCATATTAACTTTGACATAGACTACCCACAACATACCATGTTCTTAGAAATGAAAATGGATAAACCGAAATAAAAATAATGTTTGTTAAATCCTGTACCCGATCAATTAAAAATTAAAAAATCAGTACTTTTAGTTTCAGAGCAGTCCATATTAAATTCAATTATACTATGTTAAATTTCATAAAACAACATTCTGCAGGTGTGATTTATGAATCAGTCTTGATTTTTCATCTTTGGAAAAAATAAAAATGACAATATAATATGTATAACAATTTTTCAATATGAACTGTAAAAAATTATTTTGCAGATTTGATTCTTTTTAATGACAGATAAACTTAAAATAGGGATGAATGATTAATTGTAGGCAAAGTAGATTGTCGTATTGCGTGTTTCCAACGCGATTAACTTAACAATATTGTGAAATGGCGTTGTGTTTGTTTTTTGAAATAATAAATAAACCAATTTTCGTTATTATTTTATACCTTCATGATGACTTTATATTTATGTACCTTTTATGAAGTATATCAAATTTACAAGTGTTTTTTGAAGTTTCGGAAAACACTTAGTCAAAAAACTTCGAAGAGACACTAATATTTATATTCATTAAATTATTATTATCTATTCACGATATTTTCAAAGTAAAATTGACATCTTTTTTTTCTTGTTGTTGGACAAACTGATTCTGTCAATTGTCAATAGTCTAACCTAACATAATTATCTCGACATTTATATCGAGTTGGGTTCCCAGTTTTTTACTTCATTCATCAGATAATCAACATAATAATCGTAAGCGGAAGAAGTGACAAACCGTTAGAAGTTGTTTAAAAATTATATCAGCGAATAATTAAAACTTTGTGAGTACGGATTAAGTTTGTTCTAAAAAAGTGAGGTTAAGTTATACACTCAACAACGTTTTAACTACGAAAATGGCATACAAACCGCAAAAAGTTCAAAAAGTGATGGTTCAACCCATCAATTTGATCTTCCGTTACCTACAAAATCGATCAAGAGTTCAAGTGTGGTTATATGAAAATATCAATTTAAGACTCGAAGGACACATTGTAGGGTTCGACGAATATATGAATCTCGTTTTGGATGACGCAGAAGAATACTATGTGAAGACCAAAAACAGGAGACAGTTAGGACGAATAATGCTCAAGGGCGACAACATAACGCTAATTCAAAATGTAAATCCTCAAGCGGGAAATTAATGAATTTTTATGTATGCTGAAAAATAAAGTTTGTAATTTAATTTAATCTGCTAAAAATGTTATTTGTCGTCAAAAGACAGATTCGGACTCAATACCTAAATACAACGTATTTTATTATAATTATGAGTATTATTATTATTTGTATAATTCGTGACAGCGGTTGATTGTGTTGTAAAAAGGTATGCTGGCGCCTCGAATTATCCTGTTCGCCTTATATTTTTTAATCAAATAAAGAAAATATTTAATTTTGTCAACAATGTTTGTTTCTGGCACATTTCCTAACCTGACATTTCAAACAACAATGAGAAAAATTGAGGGAATTTTTATTTTTCTGTACCAACAGCAAATTCACTAAATTTTCCAAGCCAACCCTACATCAAAAAGATGGTGAATGGATAATACATAGAAATTTACACAGAAAAGACCTATTATAAAATTTTCTATAGTTGTAGACATAGCTGGAGAAGCTTAACCAAAATTTCAAGAACTTCTATATGTATGTGAACGTGATTTTATACATTATTTTATTTTACACACAATGTTCTCAATTAGACAGTGAAAAATACTGTAACGAAACGCGATTATCCGTATTTTTCCTGTGCAATATAGTAACAATAGGACAGTGAGCTGATTCTGTGAAAAAAGTCAATAAAAAAACTGCGATGACTTCATAAAATAACAAATATATTGTATAATTTATTGAAAGTAATTGAGACATCTGCACTGAAAAAAATGCCTCCTAGTTGAAACAATAATTGTAAAAACATAACAGCATCTTATGAGTAATAACAACTAAAACATATTTTTGTAGTGAATCTCACTCTGAAATTAACGCATTTATAATCGTTATTAATGGTATGTATGTATGCAGTAAATCTGCGTTTAAAACACTCAAAATAATCTGCATTCTTGGAAGTTCAATGCCTGGCTTGAAATACGGATACATTAATAAGATTCGAATTTCTCGGCACATGCAAATTTTTAGTAAATCAGTGTTTGTACTAATGAATTTATTTTGTTCAAATGAGAGGCATCATTTCCTAAACCTTTTAACGACTAATTGATATTTAAATCATTGGTTTAAAGGTAAATGAATATATAAAACACAAATGCGATATATAATCAGTTAGATATTCAAATTTTATCCAGTTATTTTAACAAAAAGAGACATCAACATTTTGGAACAGATTAATATATTTTTTTAATTTCTGGCGCTAAAATACGACGTAACAAACTTGTAGTTAAAATTGATTACACAATTTGGACCTAATTAGTCACCCAAGAAATCTCAAATATATGTATTTAAATTTTTATAACCGAGATATTTCTGACAGGCGGTTATAAAATTAAAATATTTCCGCTGCTCTTATTCAGGAAATAGCCACATTAAAGCGGTACTCGCAAAAATTTACTTTTGACTATTTTTCAAACACCACTAGGAAGTATACATAACCTTTTACATCATTATTTAAAAATATGCCGAGTGTGTAGGCCTTACTATAAAGTATAAACTAAAATCACGTTTTACTCTACAAAAAATGGAGATATTCAATTAATATTCTTTATTCACAGTGTATTCAGTCACGGTTTTTACGTAATCACTTCAATCCAGTTTCACTGTTGCTAGAAAACGTTGCCTTATATGTATGCAGACAGAATTTTGGTTTTCTAGAAACTTCTTAAAGTATCTGAGACTCTCAAGTGCTTAAATTAAAAACGACAAAGCACACAGAAGAACTCATTAACGTTTATTTTACTCATAATTCAAACCTCTGCAATATAATATCAGTGCCAGTTCTAATTTAATTTTTCCACTACAAATCGGTTTTTAAAGACTGCGCGAAAAATTTCCATTAAATTGACACCAACATCTGCCAAAAAATAATCAAATGAGTACACATTTACTCTACTTTTTGGAGAAAAATGCATGTAATGATGAAACATTTTTCCACACGACCCCAAACAAATGAAAATTCCGAAATCTCGAATCTGGCACGGATATTTAAAATATTTAAGAAAAATATTCAACAGTTGGCAGAATTATCTTCACTCTACGGAATCGTAAAACTATTTTTACGTTCATTCAGAAAAATAATATGATTAGTTCATTTTTGATGAACTACTATTTATTGCATTCAATTACAACGATAAATCATCGTTGCGAATAAAAACGAACACCAAAGCTCTAAGATTACGTGGTAGAGATACTCACAGGTCAAGAGGCGGAGATTCGTACTGTTCGTACAAATAACAAGCACTTCAGTTTATCAGAAAAAATCAAAGACTAAACTAATATGAGGATTCACAGAGCAAGTCGGGTAGTGGATTTTGATATCGCCAGGCAACAGATACATCGTTTACTTTTAACAGATGTTAGCAAACCTTATATCTGTTCTAATAATAGACGGGGTAAGAATTTATGGGCATTTGAAATATTAATTAATCGGGAAGCTTACGTTTTTTGGGTCAACTGCCGCATTTTTTAAAGTTATAGATTTTTTGACGCCTTGGAATTTTACTCACTAACTTTGTACACGTATCTAGTTATTTATGGTGATAAATTTAGTGTAGTACGTTGTGCAGTGCAGCATTTTGTAGCCAACTTTAGCACACAAAAAAAAAAGCACAACATTAGAATATTATAATTCTGTTATTAGAAATTATTATATACTTGTGCATCACGGACGATATTGTAGCAATTTTATCACTTAGAATAAATACAAGTTATACCTCATCGTTTTCTTCAAAAGCTGAAATTTCACTAAATGAAATCATCATCAACAATTGTACACAACTAAGGTTATCATAAAAATTTAGGTACACACTAAGCTAAGCTCAGTTATCATGATATAAAGCGATTAATTGAAAACTATAAATTTTAAGAACGATAACGACCGCTATATTGTTGCTAGTCCTAATATACAGGAATTCCTAAATAAACTTTGTTATGAAACAGTTTACTACGTCATACACTCCGTCCACGGTAATCCCACATAAAGCGAGTCGGTGAATACTCTTTTTACACTATCGCATTACACTAGTGAGAGAACTAATCCATAATTATCAGTAACAACAAGATAATCTAATCTAAAAATTAGGCTTTATTTAAATATTTCGCTATTATATATTTTTTTATAATTCTAAAAATAGGCCTAGAAAATTTTTGTTGCAAGGTCTACCAAAAAATAAGATTTTTATTATGTTGACAAAAGAAACAAAACACTTTTGATGTTCTGAAAACTAACGACTATTTTTTTAAAGGAGAGCTATTCATCCAACGACTATCTGAATTCGTAGAAAGACATAAGCCAATAAAAATCGCATGTAAATATGTACTTAGAAAATAATTTTCATAAATGCAGAAAATCTGAGATTGTCCTTAGTATTTTGGACTAAAAAAAATATATATATATTGGATAAAGCAGTGGAAATATTTGGTAGTTTTAGACCCTTCTTAATTTTCTTTTCCTTATTCACTGTTTTAATAATTATGTTTTTATTAGTATCTTTCTTCATCTATCAATGTTATTGATATTAAAAAATTTCTTGGAAAGTCTTTATTGATTTTCTCTCTTGAACCGCCATTTCTCTATAATTAGGCTCTAATATGCAATAGTTTCGAATGCACTCAGTCTGAATTTTCAGCTGGCAATCCGCCACTTAAACACCTAAAAATGACTAACTTACCTCATCACAGCCTTCGCACCTGGGCTTCAATAACTCCGCGTAATGCCTTTCACAATAGATCTTATCTTCATAAACACAATAAGCCAGATCTACTAACAAATCGTCACAGGTAGTACACCTGAAGCAAGCCGGATGCCATATCAATTTCCCCATTCTGGGGGCCACAACACTGACTTGTTGGGTTATAATGGATCGGTTACACCCGTCGCAGACACTATTAGGTGGCGCCGGTTTTGCTATACCTATATCTAACGCTATTTCATTTCTAGCAGATATGAAATCCTAGAAATCAAACAAGCCATAATTATCGCTGCAAATCGTATAGACGACAGGTACCTGAAAACTACTTTTGACGGATTCTTCAATAAATTTGCAAGCACTTAGGGCTAGGTCCTGTTTTGGAAGTTGTTTCGCTATCCTTTGGAGACGAGCGATTTCGCCTTTTGAACCTAGTTTTGGGACTTCATGGGTTGGCAGTGTTGAGTAGTATTGATCAACCTTTAAAAAACAATTAACACTTTATTTTCACAGTATTGTCAGTTACCTGTCGTGCAGAAGTAAGGCCAGCAGGCACGAAGGCGTAGCCTAAAGACCTCGCGTCAAGTCCATCGTGGTTGTTGGCAAGTCCCAATCGGGATCTTGCCCCGTGTTCTACCACTACCTCATGGCCTTCCCGGACGCATTTGCATTTGTTGCAATTTTTTCTGAAACGAAACAGTACTTTCAATCAAGTGTAGAAAAAATAGAAACAAAGTTATATATTAGGTGGAAATAATAAATTTCGTTGAACTTCGTGACGCCATACCATTAGAACTTGGGAACGATAACAGTACGTTAATATTGGATTTTGCGAAATATTTATAGCAAGTTCTGGATTATTTCTCCGTGCAAAATCTCATCCAATTATCACAGCAACTATGTTAAAATTAAATATGAATCATATGTATTCAGAAGCGCACCCATAAATTTTTGCAGATGAAATTTTAAATATTTGCCAGTTTCTACCGATAAGGCGATAGCACCTGCTTGGTTATTAGTTTCTCAAGTGTGTCACATGCTTTGTTAAATATTTACTCCTATTTATATAGTCCTCTGGATTTTCACTAATTAAATTTTAAAACACGTATCTTTTCTTACCATTACTATTATTACGAATTTTTATTAGAGGGCGGCACCTACCTCGTAACATCTTTGACGAGCCAGCCATTCAACCTCGAATTAGCATTGCAAACAGATTTTTTTCATTACCAACGCGATGATTTGATTTTTCGCAACATAAATGTTGTTTGCCCTTGGTTATAAAACTCGTGCAGGGGGTGCATAATTCGAGGAGGTTCACCGTAAATCTGATCCTTATTAAATGTAATTGACAGCGTATCGTTCTCGATACGGCTGCAGGATTCATGTTCCTGACATAAACGGGAAATAAAGTGTAAAAAATGACCCTGCTTTTCATTTTCACTATTTCTTGCAGCACTGGAGGCGACCGTAAAAATGCAGAATAAAACGATCATAATAGTCAAATTAAATTTATTTTTATTAGAAAAATCTTATTGTTTGATTGAAATTTGTGTGAATTTTTTGGGTGAAATAGTGGTAATTTTGGTTTACGCTTTCGATTATAAACGACTTTTGTAAGTTACGGCGCTATAACTCGCAATGTTATTATAATAAAAATTTATTTCTTGTCAAACACGTTGCGGTTTACAATATATGCAGCGTAAAAAACAGGCGTGTTTAGAGTATTGCCTATACTTTCCACCAACAAACTACACCGCACTATTCAGAACATTGTTTTGAAAAAAATTACACCAAAAATATACGTGCACCTAGAAAAATGTTACAAATTCTCATAAAAACAAGTGTTATTATTTTCTCTAAAATAATTATTATTTCGAGACTTTATTATTAACCGTTAGTCTTAAAATACACTCTAGTTTTTAAATTGTACACAGCTATTTTTGATATTCTGGTTATTTTTAATTATGTTAATTTTGAAGAAACATGATACGAATAGAAAAGCGTTCTTCGAATTTCATGATTGAATATAATTTTCGAATTTCAAGTGTTATTATATAAATAACGTTCTCTAAAAAAATATACATTTAATTCCCGAGCAGTGCTTTATTACCTTTGAATGGGTGTGTTGAAATCAACTTCCGAAATTTTTCTACAATTTGCTCTGTTGTGTTTAATTAAAATATATTATAAGTTCAACAAGTTTTTTTTAATAACGTTAAAAAAATAAAAGTTCAACTCTTTAGAAATAAATAACTAATTTAATACCAAAATCGTTATGACGGGATGTTTTATGCAGCTTACAGAGAAATGAACTTGTGTATTATTTTTAGGTAAATTGAAAAACATTTTAAACTTATTTCGCGCATTTGGTCAAGTAATACTAAATTACATTACGCAATAGCCTCCATGTGAACACATGGTGTGGCCCTTATAATTCGAAAAAAACTGAATTTAAACACGAAATGATGAATAATAATCTGCGAAGTACCCACACTGTCTGCTGGTTTAAATAGGAGATTATTATAACATCGATATTAATTTGTGGTGCTTTTTATTAAAAAAGTTGTCAACTTTTTAAAGATAGCTTCTAGGAAATAATAGTATAAGACCCAACAAAATGAGAAAATACCATAATGTACACAACTGATTTGCACATCAAGTATGTAGGTAGTGAACGAACTCCAAGGTTTCTCTTATTGAATGTTTAGTAAATCTGGTAGACCTACGAACAACTAATTCAAAACTATATAATAAATAACAATGGTATGTTTATTAAGATTATTTGAACATTTTCTAAAATTATCCTTATACATTCTCTATAATAAATTAATTTGCAGCTCTACATCAGAAAAAGTTTTATTTTTCTGGAGAGAATAATACAAGGACGATAGATTTAACATTTACAAAAAATCGTGTATGTTACACGGAAGATAATAATTACATATAACTTGTTTTTCTAGGTTCCTTGCAGCTAGAAAATGTATTTAAATTCCCAACAAAGGAAGTGGTAAAAAAATAAATATTTCTTTTTCAGTCGTGCAGAATTACTGTTAACATTGTTATACGTTATTTCACACTTTGTTTATTATATTGGGTGATTTTTAAAATTTCTGCTCTAGTTGCCTATCACGCTTACGTGAGTCGTTTACTGCTGACGTAAGCGTCATGGCCAACTAGAACAGAAACTTAAAAAATCACACGGTATTATATATAATTCACCAGTTTTTTTATCTACTAGTTGAGTCTTTAGTATTTCATTTTTAAATAATATTTTATCTCCTTTTCCTCCCACTGGTTGGTTCTATTAAAAAGTGTGCAAGGATTTGCGATAAAAATGTAATCCAGTGAGTCACAACCGAAATATTTTACATATCATTAAATTATTACATTATTATTACGCAGATTTGTCAAGTTTCATTTTCGGCTCACTCATAACGAGCATATGATGTGTCGCATGTTTATATTAATTTGTGTTCAACTCATCCTTGACTCTGAAACTGCCTGACTATAAATTTCAGTTGAGTTTAATATAATAAATAATACTCAGAAAATAGAATCGCAACTCGTCTTTTTTGCATAATTTACTTTATTTTACTCGATAATTATTATTTTTGCATAAAAAATACTGTCATGTTTTTTGGCGGTTTATTTAATTATTTTGAGATAATTTCAATCTTCGCTGCATCGAAAACAACCCAAGCCCGCAATATAAGGGCGGTTTTTAATAATAATAATTAATTACATTTATTGTAATAAACCCATAAAAACAAAATGCTGCTTTACTTTTCCCGATGTGTTTAATAAGTAATAACTAAAATAAGAAGAATAAGACATGATATTTCCGTAATGAACATGGTAAATTACACCAATATTATTATTAACCATAAATTACAAAACAATATTGTTATAGCATCATGCTAAGCAAAAAAAGCAAATTAATATTACCCAAGTCCTGAGTGTTTCATGAAATGTCAGTCGGTACGTCGTATTGACTTTGCATAGCAACAGCTTTAAGAAAATACATATTTTTAGTTTGCGTACATTTGTTAAAATAATTTTAAAATAAAATTCAGGAAGAAAATTGGAATTCTATCCCAATGCAATCACTACAGTAATTTTGCTCCAACATTTTCTCTTAATTTTTTGACAAATTTTCTTGATTTTTACATTAATTGAATCAACGATAATTATTGCGCCCTTATCCTGAAGCTACCGGCGAAGTGGTTTGTCAGATTTAACATTATTATTTTTCGCACAGTATGCGATTTTTTTTCAGTTCGAAACAGTCTATTTTAACGAAGACACTATTTCAAATAATGACATCACAAACGCACTTGGTTGAAACACTTCAAACTGTCTTGAATCAGCAACCATTGATTCATAGTATAAAATTTTTCCTTTTTGTCACAATGAAATACAGGATGTCCGAATGATTTTTTTAAATAAAACACCTTGTATTTTTTTCATTTTTGGATGCAGAATAAAAAACTATAGAAATAATAAATGTAACATCACACTACGACTACACACCCCACAAAACTGGATAATTTAATTTTACTGCAGAATGCAATTGTGTGGTTTTTACCAAAATTTGGACAACCTTCTGTTTAACCAGAAGTGATCAGATAAATATACTTCCCAAGTTAAAGAAAAGGTTCTGTTGATGAAAACCGTTTCTATCTTTAACAGCTTTCGAAATCCAGAGAGGTCAAATAAACAATTTCCTTAACAAAAGTGGATAAAAATGGATAAAATTATTATTAAAAATTAAAACAAAAAACAAAAAGATACTTTTAGTGTACAATATTTGAAAACAGGATTAGAATTAGTTTTAGTTGCGACTCTGCAATATGTCCACATTGCAAAATCCAAATTTTTATTTAGTACCATCGTGATTAATGTATTCGCAAATGTAAGTAAAGCTTAAATATTTAAAAAGATCAATCAACCATTCCGTTGAATAAGAAGAATATAGAGTTTATTTGGTTTGATGAAATGAAATAAATCGACTGTTCTTTTTGCGTGAGTAAGATAAAAGGATGTTAATGCGAGTATCCCTCTAGTGGGTAGAAATATCTCTAGAAATAATTGTGATACCAGTTGATGGTGAAAAATGGGATGTAGGTGGAAGCTGAACTGTTAGTTCAAAGCAAACGGGCTGTTAACAGACAGCTGATTAGTTTTTTCTGAAATGAAAGGGGAACATAGATTTTATTTATTATGTTTTACAGAAGACGATCACAAAACTGCTACATCGATTGAAAAATTGATGGCTTTTAAAACGTGCATATCTTTATATCATTAATAGGTTACCACGTAATTACTATTGATAATTATTGTAGAAACGCAATACAGTATCAAAAGTTTTTTCAGATAATCACTGTCAAGATTAAACGATTAAATTATCTGATGAGAACTGCGATTAATAGAATAACATTTCAAAATTGTACAAACACTTGCGGTTTTCCTTGTTCGTCTGATTGATCAGACGAAAATTCAAATAAAAACGTTATCACTTTATATCATCGGGAATGAACAGTATCATAAACACTTCTGTAACTATTAATTAACAAAGACGGTGGGTTATTCTTGGGTTGACGTTTATGAACCTTAGTTTAAAATATAGCGAGTTTATTTTTAATAATATAAACATTTCAATCAAACTGGAAAAATATTTCATCAATTGAAACATTCATATGGCACACCTGCCACCGTTCCTTGCCAAAACGCAGATTAAAGACTCCCCTTTCATTAACATAACGAACCGAATGATAGAAAAAACACAAATAATGCATCCGACGTTATCAAATATAAACAAATTAAAACCGTACATACAAAAAATTCAGTTTTCTCACGATCCTCAGTATGGAAGTGCGAAGTGAACGATCAAAGTTTTCCATCGCGTCCACCAAAATTTTGTACACTCACAATGTTTCGATTTCTGCATACTGATACTGCAGCGGAAAGGAAAGTCTTTAGGTCGTTTTATCAATATTTTAATGATGGGCAAATATTTGTCAAATACAAACTTTGAGTTTATGCACATTGTATTGCCTTTTACAAATTTTTCATACTTTGGCAACTGGTCTTTGATGTGACCCTATTTTTGTTATTTTGCGATGTACCTAGCCAAGCACAAAGGCTGACGTCAATTGCAGGTATTTAATATTAACTTATGGCGAAATTTATGTGAGCTTTTAAGTAATTTGCCAAAAATAAACCGCATACCGAACATGTGGTTTTATTAAGTTTTGAATATAAACTGAGGTTTACAGTAAAAAACTGCATAAATTAATGTTCGAATTTTTTTCGGGATAACAGTAAGTACATGTAGTGCTACTAAATATGAAATTATTACAGATCCACTTACTTGTTTATTTCTTTATGAAAAAATGTTTAGACGAGAATGACTTGATCGATTCCAATCTATTCGTTGAAATTTATCTGGTTTGTCTGGTACATTTCAATACACATTTACAGAGTCATAAATTGGCTATTCGAAAATTTTTATTTACTATTTAGTGTCAATAGGAACATTAAATGGCTTTTATGTGATTATTCGAAGTAAATTGACTCTGGCGAACAAGTATCGAATATTATTTAATTAAATTCGCTTTTTAACCTGTCGTCCAATTCAGTAGTAAACGAGCTAGAGGGGACATAGAATGACGTTATTATTCTAAATAGAATAATCTTCAATTTATACTGCTCTTCTTGATTGTCTGGATTTTACAATAGCTTCCAACAAAAACAAATTCGTTAAAACAATGACTTTCTCACAGGAGTCAAATGTGAAGAATTCGACGGATTTTCTCAAACAATTAATCATTTCCTCTAGTGAAATGAACTCACTTTGGTTTGTTATCAATTGTTTGGGCAAAATTCTAAGCAACGAAGACTCATCGTGATTTACACAGCTGATACAATAACGTAAACTGTTGGCAAATCTGCTTTTCTTGGGGTCACATGATTACACCTAAGTGATAACGAAATTCAAATTTGATAAACAAAAAACAAACAATATTAAACAGCAATTTTTTATTCCTAAAAAACAGATATCATACCGAAACAAGGGGCATGCGTGAGCAAATATGTAAACTGTAATTAGTACAATTTATTTAACAACAACATTACGTGTAAGACTTCGTAGAAAATTATCTTTAAATCGTACTTCGTTATAAAGTAAGTAATATTTTTGGTATTATTTTTTCAGGTGATATTTTTCCCTTCGTTTCTTTATATCTGTTACAAATCAGTTACATAACTATTAGTGATTTTGGCAACAAACATTTTCGTGCAAACAAATTGCAACGCATTTGTCATTCGCACAGAGAAACATCAGAATGAAGCCAAAAATTGGATGATTGTCAGCTGTATTTTTATCATTTCGTTGGTTACAAGATAACTTTCATATTTTTAATTAAATTTACTTTTTTCGTTTTAAGATCGATCATAAATCAAGGTAGCTTTATTAATTAGTAGTTCAAATTTACAATATGATAATCAAAAAATATCGTATTGCAATTATAAAATGTATGATGTTATAATAATTACATGATAAAGATCTTTTTGAATTTTGATTGAAATTAGTTTAAACAATTCCTGAACCAGGTATTTGCTTATGTTTTCCCTGTAAGAAAGAAATTGTTCATTTTATTATGTTTCGGAGGTAAATTTTGCTCCTATTAAATTCTAAATGTTAATTTTAAAGTTTACATTTGAATAAACTTTAGAACAAAAGTACATTTACTAAGTTTTGTTTTGGAAATAATTTAAAAATAGGCATATTTTTCAAAAATCCTAAAAATACACATTTGACTGTCACTGAATTACGTATGTTTTAGCTATTTTACAAAAGTTTAAACTGTTTTTTATAGCCCGTGTTCATCGAAAATCTTTTTGGACGCTGTATCAAACAAATTTTGGATACATTAAAAATAAAAAAAGCTGCAGTGGCCAATAAAAGGAAATGGAAACGTAAATCAAAAACGTGTTTTTTAGAATGGAAAACTCTGGCGGAAAATAGCCCAAACATCTTAGGTTTAATGTCCAAACCAATTAAAATTTTTACAATAAACACGTAAAAATTTTAATGCCAACGGGATTTAAAATAGATGGTACTTAAGACGAAGGTTACAAATATTATTCGATCTATATGCCTTCTGCAAACGAAAAGTAACCTTTTTTGGAAAATGTCAATTTTTCTGCTCACACAGTTCCATTCATAATTGCTTGCAAGTAATCAAGTTCAGAGTTTGCGAGTAGATAAACAAACCATTATCTTGTACAACATTTTTTTTCGTTTACTCATCCATTGAAGCAGATATTGTGTGGATTTTGCCTTTAAAAACTGTCCTTTAGAACTATTATCATGCTAATCTTCGTAAGTGATATTATTTGTAAACAAACAAAATACAAAAATAAATTCAACATTGCTCTATTTTTAAATCACTTAATTAAGCATTCCTTCGTTGTAAAATAAGCACGAAATTTAAAAACAATAGAGAAGCAAGCATAAAATAAAAGTAAATAAACAAAAGAATGTAATGTCATAACACCTGCATTAAGTACCTTGCAATCTGTTGCAAATCTTGACCAAAAACTTTTGTATAAAGGTGGAGAATCCTTACACATGCTAGAGTAAGTCCAGGCCAAGGATTCAAATCCTGTTCTTTAACGTTATTACTCAACATCGTGTACTCACTAAGACTAAATTAAACCACAAATGTTGATATCTTTTTACATTTTTACGTACTAATCCCACACTTGTTGCACTATCTAGGCTGTCACCACAATACTAACAATTCAAGTTTGTAACGGCGCTGGAATTTATCATTAAAAGGAAATAAGATAAGCGTCAAGACCGTAGAACTAAACCCTCAAACCAAATATCGCCAACAAAATGCACTCTCCGGCACGAAAACAGTGTCAATTCAGTATGTCAACAATATTTAAATTTCGCGGTTAAGATTTGCGACCTAGGCGACGCCGAAACAACGCGAAAAGTGAAGGAAATATTAGAGATCCCGTATTGGTAAAAGCAAGGAGCGTGCGCGTCTCATTTTAGATATAAAACTGAAATCTCTACGAAATCCTGCTGCGCTTTTCCATTTTGCGCGCAAAAAATGACAAATTAACACGGTTATGCCTAAATGCATAAACCAATCGCAAATTGTTTCCGAAAACGTAAACAACTTGCGTTTTCACTCGAGCGTTAATGTTGATAATTTTAGACAAAAGAGTAAAAACAAACAACATTTGAGTACTAATTAAAATAACCTTAACTTTGACAAGTCAAGGGCAAAGTGCAGCGAATCGACGCTGACGTTCAGTTTGTCCAAAACTGTACAATCTAACGTGCGGTAAACCAAATATGGCGCGATGAAAATGCATTACCATGATTGATTCCACTTTTTTCTTGTTCTTTTTTTTATTCGGATGCTTATATAACGTGTTGTATGATTCATGATACGAATGAATGAAGTGAAACCTACGAAAATCGTCCAAATTCGATTTAATGGTACGGAAATAGAAGCAGATAATTATACAGCACTGCTTAATGACTACGCTGAAAGATAAAAATAAAAACAAATATAATGAAGCGAAAATCAAAAATCAAACATATTTACTCGGTCGTGTATGAAAGCACAAGTTTCTTTGATGCAAAGACCTTTAAAAGTGAAGCGATTTCGGTTAAAGTAATTGAAAAATCAATAAATAGATCCTAAAAATACGTTTGTCCCGATTCTAAACGAACTTACGACTCTCGTAAAATTTCAAAGTTCTTTAAGACAATATAATGAGAATTGCAGTGGACAGTTGACATCAATGCCAAATATTATGAGCCATAATTCTTAATATATAAAAATCATAACGCCACAACTAAAAATAATCTCTAAATTGCTTTAAAAATGATCCATTAAAATTTGTTCGTTCTACTTAAAATCAATTCCAGTGTCTTAAGTACTGCCACTGTATTTTGTGATTTTTTTTACATCATGCTAGATATTAAATTAACAAATAATGACAACATGACTACTTCTCGGTAATACGTAAATCTAAAATTATCTATATCACAACAATCGGTCATACTTTTTATAGTATTTATCTCAACAATTGTGTTATTCATACAGGGTATTTATAAACGATTATTACGTCAAGGTAACTTTTGAAACATTGTTGAAACAGAAATCATAATCATACTACCAAACTGATGCTTGACAGCAAACCCTTTGAACAAACTATTGTAAAATGATGATTCAAATTTAAAGAATATATAACTTATGTCTTCATTTACAATGAATTAAAATTAATTTCGTTTGTTAATATGTCTATTTACTTAATAAACTTACAACAAATGATAAAAATGACCACCATTTCCTGGTCCGCCTTTGAATGCACAAGCAATTGGACGAACCACGGAAATCCAAATGACAGATGTTACAATGTCAATGAAGCTGAAGAGTGAATAGAAATCTTGTCAAACATTGAATCAATGATGGACTGAATGAATCTTAAATATTCCGTAACATAAATTTTCCTTTAAATTAACACCTTGTAAAAAATTACCGATTCAGTTAATTTGTCAGCGCCTTGAAAAAAGTACTAGATTAAGAGTCACTTGGTTTAATTAATTGCTGAAAATTCCTAAAATCTGTGTAATGAACTGGCGACACACCGTTCATAAACATGAAATATGTTTACAGAAAGACATTCAGCCACTGTATTTCAATCTTGAAATGCAACGAGAAGTCCAGTTAATAGCCGAAAGATATTTATAACACTTTTTTACTGACGATCTATGTCGAGCTAATTATCCCTTTTTATGATTGATTTACGTAGCCTCAATTCTTTGTAATTGGGATCTTTTCCGCGTTTGCTAGTTTTCGAACAAATTAACATCTAACTTTGCAAAATCTACGTCCTTCTCAAAAAAAAAAAAAAAACTTATAAACAACTGGTGTCGTGAATAGTTGGCAACCTACTGATTAACGTACATCGGAAAACAAATCAAATAAACTTAAAACTGTAAGGTATAAAACGTTACATCCTCCTCATGAATTGTTATAGATTTCGACAAAAAGATTAAAAATAGTTTATGATTAGGTGAATTTGGAAAATATCCAGATAAATTGTCACGTATTTTTCAGATGGTAGGCGTGCTGAAATTTTTCGCAGCTTGTTCGTTACGTTAATTAATCATCTTTAAGTGAAAACAGAACGAAACAGGATTCGAACATAACGAACAGAACGATTTCCTTCGTTAATTCATTGCTCATTTAAGTCATTAAGCTAATGGGAATAATAATGTTAAAGTTCACCTAAATCAGTTACTAAATGGGTACCCGACATAATTAAATGTAAATATTTATTTAGTAGTGGTACAGTGGCGTTTACGGGCCGTAAAATCTGACATACACTGAGGGCGGGAGATAATATAATTAATGCCCACTGTAGCATTATAGGGTTGTAGGTTAAAATGTAGCTATCTTTAGTAATGGAAAATGAATTTCTTGAGTGTAATTAGTTTTCCAGTAACGGTTACTGTAGTCATTACTTCGATGTCATACTTCGCAGAGAGCCTTTTATCCCACTTGTTGAATTATTTCGGATGAACTTCACTGGAAGCAGAGAACACGTAATAACAGGGCTCTCACTTAAACTTGGCAGTAAAATATGAAAATATGAACCCATGAATTTGAAGAATATGAACCAATATGAACCCGTCAGATTTGCAGGCTCTGCCATTTTTGCATATCCTGTCCTAAAAACGGAATATACAGGTATTTATTGTCCAAAATGTTCACACTGACCGATACAAATAACTCTTGCAGAAAATCACATGACAAAAAAATGGAAAGTTTATTTAAAATCTCATAAGCAAACAAACAGGAAAAATTTTAATTTAAAAATAATAAATACAAAATAAAATATATATAAGAAGAGAACAAACTATTTGTAATAATAACTTTTAAAATAACAATACCTATCTCTTTGTAATAACACAAATTAAATAAAATGAGAAATAAAATCTTATTCTGAAAACTTTTTTTTTTCTTATCAACTAGTCCACTATTACAGTACACTTGCGCGTCAAAATATTGGATTGTAATTTGTCCGTTTGCTTGATTTTTTATTTTTCGTCTTTTCGTTGCTCAATAACTGAATGCAGCAACACGCCAGCGATTTTCACGTCTGATCCGCACTCTGTAGACTTTAAAACTTTTTTAATGGCTTCATTTGTTTTATCTAGTCACTAATCAACAGTTAACTGACAAACTGTTTTTTCTTTATTTACCGTCTTCAACTCATTTTCCAGTTCTTCAATTACTATAGTATAATGAAAATGTTAAAAATTATTGTCAAATATCAAAAATTTGTTGCTGTGTTGCTGTTTTTTATTTAGTATGCTTTTAAACTATAATGTTATTAAATTTGATTTTTATACGAACTAATCAATATGAACTTTTATGAACAAATTCATACCAAATATGAAATAATAACGACTTACATTAAAAATATGAACTTTTTCATAACATATGAACCAAGTGAGAGCCCTGTAATAAGGAGCTTTACTGAAAAACCAGTTAACTTTTAACCTTGCCAACTTGGCCTACATTACAATTCTACAGGAAAACGAATATTTTGCTTTCTTGTACCTTCGTACCCAGATTTTTCGTCCCTCTTTTTTTTGTATTCGAGAAGATTTGTATATTTTGGAACCAAAAAGTGTAACAAGAAAAAAATACTTACGAGTACAAATTTAAAACCTTTGGGAATGAATGAGAAAATTTATTTAAAGATAAAAATATTTGGGTATTATATTACTATATCGTAGAAATAAAGATTTTCTAAAACCTTACTATGCCAATACAAATTATAATTATGCGGAATCAGAAATAAACCCAAATGATGAAATTTTACCAATAAAAATGACACAAAGATATTACATATAAACAATATTGGTAAAGACAATATGATGAAAGAACCAATTGTAAACAGTACTAATACTCTTCCGAAGGACCGAGTAATGTAAATAGGAAGACGTTATATCGCACTGAAACAGGAAGAAAAATAAGAACGCCAAATAGAATAAAATTGTACACAAAGGTGAAGTAGTTAGTACTGAACAACTGTCGTGCCAAGGCGCTCCGTTCCACAAGACATAACCTATTGTAAATTTTAATTGTAAACAATTTTCTAAAAAAGTAAAAAAAAAAACGTTTAAAAAATAAAAGTTGTCTTCATTTCCGATGAAAGTCTGATCAATTTTGTAAATTTCTAAACAGATTTGATTTTGTAAATTCTTCATAGTATAACAATTTATTTTCTGTGCAAGTAAAACCATATGATCGGAAAAAAGTTCTCTAGTAGGCCATATATTAATAATTCAAATAAAGTGTCAAATAGCTGCTGTACGACCTACATCATCTTAAAAATAAATTTCATAGTCCATTAGAGGACTTTTTTCGAACATATGGTAGTTATGAACAGTTGAAAAAAATCCGATTTTTTTTTAAATCACTATTTTTTTGTTTTGTTATTTGAAATTAAAACTCTACTCCGTATCACGTTTGAATAGGGTTTCCGAATTTTGGACAACAAAGAGGATTTATGTTCTTTTACATTGACTGCTATATTTTTAACTGTTTCTATCCTTAAAATTAAAAATTGGTGTAGAGTATTAGAGAAAAATTCCTTCGTGCTTGAAGTACAGTTCAACAATTACAGCTTCTTCAAAAAATTTGTCGAAAGTTGTTTCGACAGAACTTCCCTCGTTCCTGAAATACAATGATAATTTTTTTGAGTCACCCTGTACACGCAAATGCAAAAAATATTAATGGATTGATAAATCACAAGTACAGACTCATCATATTTTGTACATTTTAGATAAGATTCATTCAGCAAAATTTTGGAGTGACGTCATCAATTTTTTAGAGGGGATGAGCAAATACATTTTGATCAGAAGTTTACCATGCTTATGATAAC